TTGCCTGTCTGTCTGCGGCAGGTCCCGGAGCTGCATGACTTACAGGTGCGTGACTAACAGTGAAGAGGAGAGAAGTGGAGGGTATAGACTTTGGAGTCTGGAACTCGCTTTTGGTTACAGTGGTTTTTTTTTTTTTTTGAAATTGAATCACCCTCGACTTTGGAAACCGTTTTCACATTCCTTCGGAGTCGATCACATCGTTTATATAATATTTCCAATTAATTATTTAAAGGGAAAATGGGACAGTCCTTCATTGACCACATTTTACAAAATAAAATTTACAATTAAGGAGGGTTCTATCCCTAGTGTTTTTGCATTCGGCTTATAGTAAATGGCTTAACAAATATTGTATTTCTATGTTGCCTGTCGCCTTCTTCGTCGCACTTGATCATCATTACTCGTCTTATGTGTTTCGATATAATTTCCCATTTCCACTTGTAGCATTATGTCTATAATGTTTCCGGATTTAACTCACAGCCTACCTCGCCCGGTAGCTGTCGTCTCCAGTTCTCGAATGCGTCACACTTAAAAAGCCTGTCAGTAAATGTTCTGTCTCAGCCTGTGTGCCCTCCTGGGGTGTTGGAGCGGTGCAGTTGCGTCAGTGGCTTTCTGGTCATCGTCAGGGGCCTGTTTCGCACCCCCAACAGTAGTAGTAGTACCAACACCGTTTTTGGCGGCAAGGACCTGCTTCGGCGTCCCTGCACTTTTGATGGCTAGCTGTGATGTCGACTTTTGGGACGTGCCACTCCCAACCGCCGGCTCTGGGGTTTCCGAGGCCCCTGTAGCAGTAACAGTATTTTCGTTGGTTGTATCCATTATAGGTTTAAGTTGTTACTTGGCTGTCACTGATGATGCCAGCCTAGCGTCATCTGTCCTTTGTTCCAGTCTGTTTGCCAGATCTTCCGAGAGACCAGGGGTCGACCAAACCCTAGGGTGTGGCTTATTTCGCGGCTACCTTGTATATTTACAGGACGTTCCCCTATCCGCAACCCAAGGACGCGTCTGGTGGCGTGCTCTGGCCGACGGATGTTTCGGTGCTTCTAGCGCCATTGACTTTGATGCCAAGTGTGCTGAGGTTATCAGGAAGTTACTTTTTTTTATTACTAATGCGTACGTTTCTCCGTTGGAAAGCTGATCAATTATTACTACCTTTGACTCGGGAGTTCTTCTCTTCACTAATATAGCGGCTTCGTTCGTATTCCGTTTTAACTCTAGACGGTTGTGGATTCGTGTCCATCTCTATCGTGTTCGGTTTTCGCTGGTGTTTCTTCTTTCCGAGACCTTCTCCATCCATTTAGTATTCATTTTCTCGCGTACTGTGTCCTGTCTGTTTTCCAGATCCTTGATGGCCTTTGTTGAGTTTTACTGTCTGTGTTCCTTGAAATAACTTGTGTCACGTGTTAAGCTGACTAATTCGAGGTTCACATGGTAATTTCCAACTGTGTTGGCATACAATGTGCTGAACCTAGTGCCGTATAGGCCTCGCTCCACTACCTCCAACAGGAAATCCATCTTACGATTGGTGTGATTAGATGTCTTCACTACCGACCTTGATATGCCCATCCTCACCCTTCTCTATAGCATGGAAAAATTCACGCCCAGTAGTATTATAGCATCATTAATGTATTATAACAAATAAATTTTTTATTTTTATATAGAAATGAAATCAAACTATAGTTCTGATAAAACATATCCTTTAAAAATTGTTTTTTTTTTTTTTTCATTAAATTATTTATTATTGTTTCATTGAATTCAAATTTAACACATTATTGACCTAAATATTCAACTACGACACAGGTTTCAGATGCTATAATATTCACCAAATCTACTTCCTCGATATTTATTTATTTATTCAATAATATTTTATGTTGTTTTATTTACTCACTGCTGGCTACTCTCATATGTGGTGATATGGTTTTCAATATTGATTTTAAATGTTTATATCGATATTGAGATGATCATAATTATCATGACTTAATATTAAAAATGAATTAACGTTATACTGTTTTATTACGTACATATTATTTTTGATTAAGGCTTTGATAAAATGGACAGTTGTAAGTAGAAAAAACTTGTTAAATATTTTTTATACATTTATAATATATCATTGAGAAACTGATTGTATTAAAAATGATATATATATACTTTACATAGGTAGCTCACAGATTATGTAACCTAATAAAGTAATATTTAATTTTACATAAAATTGTCTAAAAAGTATAAAGTATAATATATTTATGTAAATATTAAATGCAAACCTGCTGTATTTACATTAGAAGAGTAGATAGTTATGACCTGAAGATGAGAGATTGAATGCACTAAAAAACTTGGAAGTTTTCATAGAATAATGCACGTAAATAGGAAAATATTGCTAAATATATCATCAATAGACAAATTTATCAAAATAAGTAATATCAGTTAACAAAAAATAAATGTATAATAAATTCGTAAAATTACTCAAAATATATGGCTGGGATATGCTTAATGTTAAAATATTAAAAATGTATTCGAACAAGTTTTGACGTTATGAAAAATAAATACATATGCTGTGTAAAAATATTTTTCCAAGAATTTATAAAAAATAGATCTATAATATGATTACAGGCTCGTAGGTTTAATCGAACTTATTTATTAAACTTTATATAACCACTAGAATATCACCTCAATGATTTTTCAAATATAAACATGTTATTTTACTTAAATAAATAATATTTTTATCTTGTTATTCTTTAAATTTTTTTTTATTAAAAACTTAATAAATAATCCATAATTATACTTTTTCTAAATAAACAATAACAGTTTTTTTTAAAGTAATATAAACAAGTATCAAAAAAATTTTTTATTATTTTTTTATTATTATTTATTATTTAATGTCTAAATCATGATAATGAAGAGTTATAATTTCGTTTTAATAGAATGATAATATCATAAATTAAAATTTTTTTTTATTTTTTTTTGGTTATTTTTTTTTTTTTTTACATACTTTTTATACAAACAAATAATAAAAATTTACATTATATGTTAATTAGGCTTGAGTTTATTATTTATATTGCATTTGAATATGAAATTATTAATATTTGAAGTTTGATTTTTAAATCAAACTTATATTTCATTAATTTTAACTTAGAATTAATTTCATCGATATGCAAAATCATTGAATTCATAGTCTTGATTTATTACAATGATACTCTAACCAGCAATATTGTTTGTATCTTTTATTCAAATCCAAATTATTACACAAGGAAAAAAAGACTGATGATCTTTAATTTACTATAATATTTATATGTGTATACATGATGTTCTCAATAATTTAATTATTATATTTAAGAACGGTTTTTAATTTAACTGATCATCAGTTTGTACTGTGTAACTTTTATTTAGCGCACTTTAAAATTTAAAACATATTTTGTTTATTTGGTCAATCGTTTGGAAAGTAGATTTTTTTTTGTATTTTTAAATTATAAGCATTACTTATCATCTTAGTACTTGAACTTAAATACAATTACCTATTAAAAAATTTAAATTTAATATCATAAATATATTTATACTTTTTAGTGTTATTGTAGTTATTATTATTAATACAATATTTCAAATTATTAAGTTAATTAATAAATTATAAAAATTATAATTAAGATAATAATATGGATTGATATAAATAATAATAATTATTAATGATTTAAATGATTCGTTGTACATTTCAGATCCATCCTACACAAACTCAATACGATTGACTCTTCTAAAAGGTAAAAACCTTTATTTACATAGTACCTACTATATCTTTTAATTATTAACATAACAGTTTACATCAAAATATATTATAAATGAGTAATTTAATAATTATATAGCAAGTAAGTTATAAATACCAATTGCTATATGTAATATGGTGTATATTTATTATTTTAATTTTAAATTAAATTTTTTAGTAAATAACATATTTCTACAAAATTATTTAGTTAATTTGAAAAATATGATTACCGTCCGGGATAATTGTTTATTTAATGTATTGATTTAAATGACTGTGAAATTATAATAATAAATCAGTGTCAACATTTAATTGGAAATTAATTTTTTTTTAATTGAATATTCATAGTGTATAAAAGTGAATAGTTAAAATATAGCTACTTATATTTATTTGCTGTTATAGGTCAAGATGATGTTAAAATATATACCCATCAAATTGATACATTGGTAAAAGATTTTCATGAAAATGGTCCTGGTTCTGTAAATGAAAATTTAGATTTAGGTCTCCAAATGCTAGAAGTAAGATTTTATTAGATACTCAAAACATCGTAATAACAACCTAAAAGTAAATTTTAGAGTTTTTTTGCGTTAAAATTTGATTCTTTATTTTATGATTGTTATGTATTAGGAATTAACACGTTCAATGCCAACATTATTCTGGCGTATTACGCTACACGCCACGCTAATATTTGAAAAACATGGACGCCGTTGGATACGTGACGACGCCGGCCATACGGTGTGGCGATGCATCATATGGCCGACGTCGGCACGTATCCGACAGGCTATGTGCTAAAGCATTTATTTTTTGAATTGTAAATAATAATACATATAATATTATACTTATATATTTATTTTTAGTATAATTATCAATATAAATATATAATTATTATTTTAAAGATTTTGATATCATGAAAGGTAAATTATTATTAGAATTTAAAATACGATGGTTTTATTTTTTGATATAAAATATAACGAATGATAAGACACATAACAAATAACAAATACTTATAATGTTTGAATAACAATTCTAATAGTAACAAATTAATATAATAATATGATCACAATATAAATATCAAAACAAATATTATAAAACATTGCAAATGAAAAGTAGACTAGCCTTCGTCTATAAGTAATAAAATAATGAGAAAACAAATATTATAAATCATTTAAAATGCAAAGCAGACTAGTCTTCGTCTATAAGTAATAAAATAATAACAAAAAAAATAAAAGTAAAAAATAATTAAACGAAATTATAACGATTATTTGTGAAACTCTTTGAAGCATTGTTCCAAGCATAACCCTGGTTCATCCTCACATTGATCACAGTAATATATAGTTTCTTTTCGTATTTTTTTATCAGCACAAACCTTACAGCGTTTTTTATAATATCTGTTTTTTTCGTTTTTTTCAACTTTTTTGGGTAAATGTGCTTCAGTTTTTTTCACCTCAGAATTTTTCTGTGTTTTATTGTCTTTTTTAGGTAATAAACTTTCAATAACTGAGATCTTGTAGTCGTACAGTGATATTTTTTTTACGTTTCTATTATATAGAAAATATGAATTTATTAACAATAAATGCATAAAATGCACACCAATTTTTTTATACCACCTCAAGGATTTCCTTTCACAGGGGTAGTATGATGCCATTTGATCCTGGCGATCTATTCCTGACATATTTTCATTATATTTTTTTACGATTATAGGTTTCTGTCTTACTTCTGTCCTAGAACTAACTTCACACATTGAGTGAGAAAATTCAGAACTAATCATCAGAACATCTCTCTTGTCTTTCCATTTTAGGACACAAATACCCTCTTTTGTGTACCGATATATAGACTCTCCTTTTTTCAATTTTTTATCAATAACATCTTTTGGGTTGTTTTTGCGGTTTGATCGTAGAGTTCCTGTGACAAATGTTTTTTTTTCTAACAACAGTTTTGATAGATGGACACTATTATAATAATTGTCCATAAATAGTGATCGACCCTCATAAAATAATCCATTCATAAGTTTAAAAACCACATACTCTGTATGACTCATAGTATTAGATATATCATGACCTTGTCCAGAATAAACCATAACCCTATGTATAAAACCCCAGGGTTCAGTCAACATATATGATTTTACACCATATTTGTGTCGTTTGTTTTTAATGTATTGGCGAAATACCAAACGCCCACGCCATAAAATCATAGATTCATCAATAGATAAATTTTTAGGCGGTTCATAAACTTCTTCCATTTTTGAATTAAAATAATTCAAAACACTCTGAATTTTATATAACCTATTATGAGGAATAGGTTCTCCTTCTTTCGGATTACGAGTGAAATGCAATGCTCGTAATATTAACATGAATCTGTTACGGCTCATATATTCACGAAAACACGGAATGTTGAAAAGTCGACTGGTTTTCCAATAATCTTCCAATCTACTTAATCTAATTGTTCCCATATGAAACAATAAGCCAATAAAAATTTCCATTTCTTTTCTGTTAGTATCTACCCAATTATTTATTCTTGCACTTTCGTGTGTTTGATTTAAAAAAATATCAAGTGCATATGCATTTGTTTCCTCAACAAGAAGATCAAAAAAACTATCAGTAACTAATAATCTAAAATAATCAATAGGTGCGTTTCCTTCGGGTACACATTTCAAACCTGGTGTAGCTGTAAATGGAATATAGTTTGCATTTGCAGGATCAGATAACCAGGAAGTTTCATAATTGTTAGGCTCTTTTCTAAGACTATTATTAGAGTTATCAGACATCTCATTCATCGTACTACTATCTAAACACATATAATGAGAATCATTATTTGAATTACCTTCTTCAACTTCTGCCATGTTATCGAAATCATCAACCAAAATGCCCTCAAAATTATCATCAGAACTGCCATCAAAATCATCCTCCGATGACAACCATTTATCATTTTCCAAAAGTAATAAGAGTTCTTCGTCGGTTAATATTTTAGTTTTATTTGTTTTATTATATATAGGACTTCGAGATCGCTCTCTAGATGGACCAGGAGGAAGATCCATTTGTATTATTGTTAATTAAATTTGTTAATTTAAAAAAATAAGGCTGGTGTTAACGAATTATGAATTTGTTATCATATTACGTTCGCCTAATCATGTATATAATTATTATGATACATATGACATGAACATACGAACAATAATTGTGGAAATATTGACGTATAGATTGTTTTGTCGATGCATTTATTACATTTTTCTGAAAAAAAAAGAATATTGATAGCATTGGACGATAGAAAATAACATGTGTTTTCACAAGTTAGGTTTATTAAAAAATTTTTATATTTCAAAAAAAAAAAAAAAAAAACAAACGTATTTATATATATTTTATAGTTACCGACGTGTATTTAATGAATATTTACTTATGTTGATCCAATTTTTTTCATCATACATTTTTCAAGACTGGAAATTTACGATTCAACGAATTAAAAATTAAAATTAAGTCAAAACGTTAAGTTATATTAAAAAGTTACTTAAATTCGTTACTTTTTTTGAAATCATCTTTTAGTTTAATAAAGTTACTTTTGCTTCATATATAACTGTAGACTTAAAATTAATATTTTATTCAGAAGTTTTTAAAATGAGTTACATTTTTAAATTAATAAATATTCTTTTTCTTTTTCGTACCGCTGCACACGAAGAAGCTACTTCCATATTACTGACATTGGATATATATATAATATTTTGAACTGGTACTATTGATATTTTCCGTTATAAAGAGGATTTCGTCTTATAGATGGTCCGTTATAGAGTTGTTTTACTGTATATAATTATTATTGATGTTGTACGATTATTATAACTGTTATAACCAGACGTGTGCAGGACTTAATGGTTGCTGTTGTTAAAAATTATTCATTTATATGTTTTTAAGCTTTAAGCTAATAATAGCACTTTTTCTTCAGTCTTGAAAATCTATTTGACTGATAGATATAAAAATACAATTAATTTTATATAATACGGTTAAACCCGTGAAGCATTCAACCTATGGTTTATTCAAACTTGTATAAAAAAAAAAAAAACGAATTACTATAGCCTGTAGACGTCTGCTCACTCTGCTCAGTGCTCGTGATGACCACAGTCACTGGTTTCATCAGCAATTATGAAAGCATATTTATTTTTGAGCATAGATGAAATATTTCGAAGCATTGAATTATATATTGACTGTATTATATCATTTTGTGTTCTATTACTTGTGTATGAAGCATTTCTGGGATCTTTTTCTAAATGCTTGATACTTCTAATATTACTAACTATAGTTAGTTAGAAAAAATAAAAATTGTAAGCGAAAACTGTAACTACAGGGTGGGTCACGGGAATAGGGACAAAAACAAATAGATATAACTCATTGTATTTTAGACGTACAATTATTTTATTAATATTTTATCATACACAAATAAGTGCCATTTTATGTTTTGAAAAGAACATCGAGCATATGACCTCCATCTTGTTCGTAGCACGAAGAAAGTCGGTCCAACAAATTTGAGTGAACGCGTTGAAGCAAGTTTTCGTCTATTAATGCAATTTCCGTTTTTATTGCATCCTTAAGTTCGTCTAGTGTACGTGGTTTTGACTCGTAAACACGTGACTTCAGATAACCCCAAAGGAAAACAGTCACTTTAGGGCTGTACAACGGTCGTTCGTGGAGGCTTTGAGGGTTTTCTGCAGCATAATAACGACAATTTTGCTTATTTACAAAACCGTCGAGGTGAAAATGCGCTTCATCACTCATAAATAACAGCATATCATCATTCACCTCAAATAACGAGACCATCTCTAATGCAAATTCTGAACGTTGGTGATAATCAGTAGGTTTCAACTGTTGAACAATTGTCAACTTATAAGGATGGAAGTTCAACTCACGTTTGACGATGCGTCGAACGGAAGAACGATTAATTTGTAAAGCCTGAGCTTGTTTGCGCACCGAGCGTCGTGGACTTTGGAGAACAGCGGCTCTTACCCTTTCCGTGTTTTCGGGAGTTGTTACAGTACGTACGGGGCCAGGTGGCTTTTTTTTTGTAATTATTCCCGTTGTTCGAAAAGCAATGACCCATCTCATAATTGTTTTCCGATCGGGAACCGCACCGTGACGGCCAATGTTAAAATTATTCCGGAATGCACGCTGTACTTTCACTACCGATTCGTTGTTTTTGACAAATGAGTCGTACGCGAACACACGGTGAACGAAACTCCACTGCTCCATTGTGGAAACTAAATGGCATTATCTAACGGATCGAATGAAACCTTTCCGACTTACTCACATTCAGCCTACGTCGAGAAAAACCCATCTATTTTTTAGCCCTATTCCCGTGACCCACTCTGTATATTTAGCTATTAGCAGCCCGCAGGTATTGCTTTAGCATACCCTGCAACACTCGTGCTCATGCCTATAGCTACAACTTATAATTAGGGCTGGTTGAGTAAGGAAGTTATGTGAATTGCATAGTATTTTATATACTCTCGATTTGTAACAGATCAAACTAGAATCTAAACCAGTGGTCGGTAATAGGCGGAAATCCGGCCCGCGAAGGAAAAGTAATTGGACCACAAAAAATATTTTTTTTAATAATGTTGGTTTTCCACACAATATATATTTTATCTATTTTATGATGTATTTAGAGATTACGATGGTGTTTATCGTTTATTGCTATTTACAATAATAGTTGCGATAACACAACAATTATTAACTAATATCTGAGTTTTTAGTTTTTACTGGCCCTCGCAAATTTTTTTTTTTTGATTTTTTGGACCTCCATAGAATTGAATTGCTGACTCCTGATCTAAACTATACAATGGTAAGTTTAAAAAAAAGTTTCGTCAAATTTAAGAAAAAGGTGCATATTTTATTAGTTTTATTAGGTACATTAAATATTATCTAAAAACATAGATTTTTTTTGACCTTTTTAAAATAAATTGAATGTAAAACTGAATACATATTATTTTACGTAGGTATTTTATGTAATGGTCATCTTCGCAGTCAAATTTTAATTTTACTACAGTAATATCTGCATTGAATTTATATTATGCTAATATATCGAAATATCATCTTATTTTTAGTTTTTCGACTTAAATTATCATACATTTATTTGTTATTTATTTGTTAGTAGATTTATTGTATACGATTGCTATTTTACAGTATTTCTTTAAGATATTTTTCAATTTTAAAAAAGTGTTTTTTTTTGGAATTTTGAACAATTTTTTTTGTCTATTTAATATTTTTTTATGTATATTATTCATATTTGCATACATATTTTGTCTGTTTCAACTCCTATGCCTTTCGAATTTTAGTAATAAATATATATGTCAATAATTTCCTTATACGCATGCCCATAAATATGTAATACTTAGTAGGTAATTAGTTAGTAATTAATGAGCATATTAGTTTAAATGTTACATTCGTATTCGTATATTTTATTTATGTTTTTGTAAGCCATTAATGATACTTCCAAGTATAATTTTAATGTATGTGCTTAGTGTGTTGAAGTACACAGATATACAGAATCTTAAACTATATAATAAATATATATAAGTATATATAAATTGGACATTTATAATATAATAATATGTATAATAATGTAAATATGCGAAGTATAAATCACGACTGTGTACACCTAGCTACTTCACAAGAATGTTGTATTATATAAAAATATCTATCAGCGTCTGCTGTAGTACTACATTATGAATATTTTACTTATTAACTATGTAATATGATATAGAGTGTGTTGTTTAAAATTTAAACATAGTTTAACTACCAGTATAAATTGTTTTTAATTAATTTTTATCTCATACAATGAATGATAACCAATAAATCCCTCTTCTTGAGTAAAATTGTCTGTAAATAGTAATTCATGTATTTTGCAATTACATATATATGAGCACAAATTTTAAGCTTGAAAAATGATCTAAATTCATATATTTTGTATTGATATACTGTTTATTTTATCGATTTAAAATATGATTTTAATTACGTTAATTTATAATTAGTTAATATTATGCGTCATAGGAATACGATGTAAAATTCAAAGCATTACTTGCCGATAAAGCTGTAATGAAGAACACATCGGCATTGTTTGAAATGCCACAAGAATCTTTTACACTTCTCGACGTTACATATCAAGAGTATCATTGCTTGTGTTCAATATACAATTTATATTCACGTCAAAAAAGCGCAAGAGATGATTGGTCTAAAACGCTGTGGTCAGAGTTGAAACCACAGTTATTATTAGAGGGCATGGACAGTTTTATTAAAGAGTTTAAACAATTGCCCAAAGCATGTCGAACAGTACCTATTGGGTTAGTTTTAGATATGAAAATGAAAAAATTTAAAAATTCAATTCCATTATTTATTGAATTAAAGAACGATGCAATGAAAGAAATGCATTGGAAAAAGCTAATGGAGCAAACTGGTAACTACACGATGGGCGTACAAACCAAATATATATTAAATATTTATACGTTTATTTGTATTCTTTTGAAAGGTCAATATTTTGATATGGATCCTGAAGTATTAACGTTAGAAAATATTTTTAATATGGATTTAGCTCGTTATAAAGACACATGTTTGGAAATTGTTGCAAATTCAGTAAAAGAACTGAGTATTGAACGAAGTATCAATGATGTTGAAAAAGTATCTATTTATTTTGTATTATTGTTAACACCAAAAATAAATTGATATTAATTGTTATAAGATGTATTAAGTAACAAATTCAAAAAACAAAAAGTTATGAAAAACAGCTGAATTTGGTTAAATAAAAACTAAACATAATTTTTTTCTATTATCATTTTTAAAAACTGAATAATTTAACCCTTTCAGGCCCACTACTAGATATAATTAAAAATGTATGGTTTTTTTCTAATATTACTATATAGAGCTCAAATAAGAAAAAAAAAATTTTTTGATTTTCATGAAAAGCTCTAAGTTTTCCAGACCTGATGCCATGTGGCATCATTGGGAACATAGGGGTACTCATTTTAAACTTTTCAAAAAATAACTTTATTTCTTATAAAATATTAAAACATCACATTTTTAACAATTTATCACATTAAAATATTTAAAACATAATAATTATAATATAAAAAAGTAAATAGTATTTAAGGTAATGGAATAAAAAGTAACCTTTTCATAAAATAAAAACTTTGTTATACATGTACTTTATAATAATAAAAATAACAATATCAATTAATACATAAATAATAATAGGAATAACAATATAAATTAATAGTAACTTGCTGTTCATAAATAATAATAAAGATAACAATATCAATCAATAATAATAGTAACTTATTTCTTATGGTAACTTTTGAAACAGTTCCGACTAAAATTAAAGCATAAAGCCACATTGCATTTTGAACATTATGTTCTGGAGTATGGTTGAACACAAAATTTACATATTTTTTTGTCTTTAGATAGTTCAGGCCAATGTTGATAACCATCAAATCTCACATCTGGAACTGGTGCATTTGATCTCTTGTATCTGTTTTTACTCGGTGGTGTCAAAGGAGATTTTCTTGTGTATATTTTGTCTTTTCCAGCATTCAGTAGACCTAATGCAATATCCTAATTCATCTTGAATATTAGTAAAGAGTCATGCTTTATTATATTCAACTGTTTGCAATGACGTTTATACATAAGCCAGCTGTTCACTATACACATATCTATAATATGAAAAATAATTCTTATGTAATTCCTCTTACATTTAATATCTGTTCGATAAATCTCAACCAGCATATCATGCAAATCAATAGCACCCATAAAAGAGTTGTATTCTTTGACTATAGCTGGTCTTTCAATTGGTATTCTTAACTTATCTGCCATTGACCAACGTTGAACCTGATCAAGAGGTTCTGGACCAATGTAGTTCGAAACTAAATGCACTGTTTTATTGTCAAACCATTTACATGCAACAATTGCATTGTGTCATAAGATCCTCTTCCTGACTTTTTAAGGTTTTTATCATTTTCAAACTGACACCCTGATAACCTGTTCGATCTGACAGTTCCAACACCTAAAATCCCATGATTTTTCAAACTTACTATCAAATTGTAAGAAGTAAACCAATTATCAAAACTCAGCTTGAAGTTCTTGTTCTTAGATATTATTTCAGATAAACGAATTACAATATCTCCACTCAGCCCAAGATTAGTATTTGACTTCAGTGTCCCTTTGCCAACATAAATTTCAAAATCATGTACTATACCTGATTTTGAAGCCAAAGCAAACATTTTGATCCCCCATTTATGAGGTTTTGACTTGTTGTATTGCTTCATAGAACTTTACCTTTAAAAGGTATAATAATTTCATCTATTACCAAATGTTCTTCAGGTCTATTAATTTAAAATTATGTTGTATAGCATCAATAAATGGCCGAATTTTAAACAGTTTGTCATGTCTAATATCTGTAGATGGAAAACAATTAGTGTTGTCATTAAAATGTACATGTGTACGTAAAGCAGTGAATCAATTACGTGACATTGTGTCACTAATCATAGAATATTTTGTATACTGTGCCCAATAAGCAGGCATTTTAATGACAGACATACACATATGCATACCAAAAAATTGTTCCATTTCATTTGAATTTGTATCGATACTACTGCAATTTTTTTGTACAGAATACAAATTAGTTTGATAAACAATATTTTCTACAATTTTTTAATCGAATAATTGTTTAAAATATTCCAATGGAGTATGTGGTTCTACAGGGGGAACAGACATCATAGAATTAAATGGGTATTTTTGGTTTTCCCAAGAACCTGTAATCCAATTAGCTGGTAACTGTACTTCATTTTATTTTTCAACATCGGTTTCTTCAGTATTGTCACTTTGGTTTAATAAATCTTGTGTTAAAGATCTAAGAGGCATTGTTCTCTTTCCTTAAGTTCAAAAGATATTATAGAAACAATAAACATAATAAAAATTACAATTTATTTACCAAATTGTCTATTTCAGCATTATTCAAATCTATGAACTCTGTAATTTCAGCAATATGATGTTGAGTAATAATTTGTTCATTGAGATCATCTTCATCATAATTAAAATCTTCTATATCCGACATATATCCTCTAAGGAGGTTTTATATTTCAGCATAATTTAGAGCCATAGTATAAATGTACTAAAAAAAATAAATGTAATATTTGCACAATAAAATATATACTCTTATAGAACCAATGATGCCAATTGGAATCATCAAATAACATTCTCATAACAGCCAAAATAACAATAACACAATTAAACTAAAGACATTTTTAGAATAATTAGCGTATTTTACATAAGAAAAAGTAATTGAAAGCATAATAAAATATAAATTACTTACCGAAAATTGAGGAAATAAATCTAAAAGTAGTTTCCGTCGTAGTAACGGTTGAAAAAATTTGACAACAACAGATAATAACATCATTAATGATCACGTTATCGTTAAAACAGTGACACTAATCGATAGAACACAATATTTCCTATAAGAATTGATTCCATATGGAATCATTGGGGTCATCATAAAAATAAGAAAAAACACTTAATATTATGATTCCCTATGGCATCACTGGGTCTGATGTAATGCATAAATTATGCATTTCTATTTTATGATTACCTAACTCGAAATTTCAGTATCGAAAATTACCATTATTTGTATAAAAAAAAATATCATAATGAAATTGCTTAGATTAACGCGTTGGTACCTAGATATTCAAGTAATTTGTATTTAATTTAAATTAAATTATTGTGAATTAGTACATATATTTATTTAACAGTAATTAATTTTTATGTACGTAACTTTAACTATTCCTGTCAATAGACTTGGGAAATGATGAATTTGACTATTATCGAATACATAAAAAATGATACATTCCGAGGAATAATTTTGGGAGATTTAACTGAAGTTTTTCAATTACTTGAAGATAATATAATGACTCTTCAAAGCATGGCTGGTTCTAAGTACATAAAACATTATTAAATTAAATTAGTTTTTATCAACCAAGTTTAACTCGTATGTCTTTAATATATAGGTTTATTGGTCCATTTCGATCAGTAGTAGATAAATGGGATAAAGATCTGACATTTATAATTAGTATTCTTACCATATGGAATTTAGTGCAATTAAAATGGATGTATTTAGAGGAAATATTTCTTGACGATAAATTTCGAGCACAGCTGCCTAATGAAGCATTAAAATTTGATGGATTGAATCATAAGTTTAAAGATATAATGAGAAACATATTAAAAGATCCAAAAATAATTATGTTAAGTAGAATGCCGGAACTGTTTGTAGAATTAAAAAGTTTATTTGAAGGACTTGAAACATGTCAAAAAATGCTAAATAAATATTTAGAAACGAAACGAAACTCTTTCCCAAGGTTCTATTTTTTATCTGATAACGAACTGTTATTAGTCTTGGGTAATACTAATCCTCATGGCGTTCAAGAACATATTGTTAAAATGTATGATAATGTGAGAAGCTTAATTTTTGTAAATGATTCTCGTAAGAATACATTAGTAAGCGGTATGGTTTCATGTGAAAAGGAAACCATGCCATTCAAGAGTCAAGTGATGGTTGATGGTTCAGTTGAAATTTGGATGTATAGTGTGTTAATGGAAATGTGGAGATCTAATAAGTATTTAATAAAAAAATCAATTTTTGAATACGGAAATACCACTGGATCTAGATGTGAATGGATGATGAACTTTCAAGGACAGATGTGTTTGGCTGCAAACAGTGTGTGGTGGACAGCAGAAGTTGAAAACGTTTTTTGGGAAATAAAAAAAGTATGTAAAAAAATGCGTTGTTGGTTTTAAAATAATGGTTTCATTATTTTAGGGGAACATGAATGCAATGAAAAGTTACTTGGAAAAATTAAACCAACAGATGGATGAATTGATTATACAAGTGAGAGGAGAATTAATATCAAACGACCGAAAAAAATTTAATACAGTTTTAATCGTCGATGTTCACGCCAGAGATGTAATTGAAAATTTAGTTCGAGATGGCATCATAAAAAGTCAAGAATTTGAATGGGAAAGTCAGTTGAGATTTTACTGGAAAAGAGATTTCGATAATTTAATCATCGATCAGTGTTCGGGGACATTTTTGTACGGATACGATTATATGGGATTAAATGGACGTTTGGTTATAACACCGTTAACAGATCGAATTTATTTGACGATAACTCAAGCTCTTTCAATGCAATTAGGTTGTGCTCCTGCTGGTAAATTAAAAAAAAAAAAAAATCGAAATACGACTTAAATGTTTCATTAAAAACTTTTTTTTAGGTCCTGCTGGTACTGGGAAAACTGAAACCGTTAAAGATTTAGCGAAAGCATTAGGAATATTGTGCATGGTTACAAACTGCGGAGAAGGAATGGATTTTCAAGCATTTGGTATGATATTGGATGGATTATGTCAATGTGGAGCTTGGGGTTGTTTTGATGAATTTAATCGAATCGATGTTTCGGTTCTGTCTGTTATCTCGACCCAAATAGGCACAATTAGAAACGCATTAGTCGAAAAAAAAGAAATGTTTTTTGTAAGAAATAAACTATTTAAGTTTTTTTTTTTTTAACATAACATAATTTGTGTAATTTAGTTTAGGGGTAAAGATACAATCCTCGATAATAAGGTTGGAATTTTTATTACGATGAATCCTGGTTACGCAGGTCGTACCGAATTACCAGAAACTGTGAAAACACTATTCAGACCGGTCATATGTGTACTTCCCGATTTAGAGCTAATTTGCTTAATTATGTTATTTTCCGAAGGATTTTTAAATGCTAAAGTATTGGCAAAAAAAATGTCAGTATTATATAGCTTAGCTCGTGAACAATTATCAAAACAATCACATTATGACTTTGGCTTGAGAGCATTGAAATCAGTGCTTGTTATCGCTGGGGAGTTAAAACGAAATTCGCCAGATCTAGATGAAAATGTGGTACTCATGAGAGCGTTGAGGTTAGTAAATTAATGAAAATGAGATTTAATTGAAAATTATTATCCTTTTTACTATAATATAATATTTATATTTATAATTAATCATGAAAGTGTTTAAATAATTAAATTTAAATTGGGGACAATAATTATATACTAAAAGAAGTTATTTTATTTTTTAGAGACATGAACTTACCTAAATTTGTATTTGACGATGTGCCACTGTTTTTGGGACTTATTACGGATTTATTTCCCGGTCTTGAGTGCCATCGAATAACGTATCCTCATCTGAATAATGCTATTGAAGAAGAATTAAGAAAAAAATATTATTTACCATTAGAAAATCAGGTTACCTATATATTATTTTTTTTACAGTTTCAACAAAAAAATCATTAGGCAAGATAAGAATTAACATTTTAATAATTATTTATATTTAATATGATAATCATTGGGGCTCGGATATGAATTCCCTTAAAAATATCGAAAAATGCCTTTCAAAAAAATGGATTTGTGACCTAAAAACTCTAAAAAATGTCCTTTCAAAAAATACATTATTTTTTATATAAATTAAAACTATAACGTTTAAAAAAAGTATAATATAAAAAATTGAAAAATGAGTAAAAAGTTATATTACATTAGCATCACTCTGTACAATAAGAGCTTTTTTATTGTTTTGAAACTTAAATGACCGACGGTCGTCTGCTAACAAGTTGTTACATACTGAAAATGACTTCAACTGAGGTGATAGGCGCAAACTTGAAAAATGTCATATCGTTAGGCGTAAGTCTTCTAGAATTTTTTATTTTTCTTTTAATATTTGACGTATTGTGTTGTTTGTTTAAAGCCTTTATTTTTATTCAAAACGTAGTCAAATTTTCAATTTACGTTTTCCTTAATTAAATTTGGTGAATTTTTTTTTTTATAATATTTTTAATCGTGTCTACAACATTTATAGATTCTGTTATGTTAATTAGGGTGGTCCTTATTTTTCATTTGTGATTTTTTTCAAATT